AAATAAAGCTTTAAAGACTCTGGCTAGGATGAAAAATTAGATGCCGTGTGTAGGTATCAATTTTTTTCTGTAAGTCTTATAATATTGATAATTCTTTAGAATAATAAACTATTATTTCGAATATAGCTTTGAATTCTTTTAAGTCGAATTAGACTTAAAATAACTTTGGTATAATCTCGAAATAGCGTTTGAGGAGTTGGTTTTAATTTTTTGCCTGAGATACGGTTAAGTACCAATTCAAGGGTGTTCTGATTCATGGTTTCGATGATTTCTTATTGCTTTATCAATTGAAACCGCATAATCTGGACGCTGATCAGATTTAGGCTAAATTTCACATATATAACAATTTTATTTATTGAAACAAAGTAGTTGTCGAGTCTCAGGTTTACTATTCAATGGTCACTCTACGATTAGAGTCACTAAGAAAATCAAATAGCTCTGATTGTTGATTTAACAAAACAATAACTTTAGTCAAATCTGAACAAATCAAGTCAGAAGACCCAGTTTCAATCAATCCAAATCCAACACTAAACAGTAGATGAATTTGTGACAGATACATAATATTTAACCACGAAAAGTTAGTCGGCTACAACATGCTTTCGATTTTATTAGATTTTGTTCCACCGTAGACGGCAGCTTGGTATATGGCCCGAAGAGTATACACGTCTTTACCATATAAACTTCACGACAATAGTGGACTGAAAAGAACTTCAGAAATTTTTCTAAAATCGAAAAATGAGCTAACCACTTCCGACTATTTGTGACTGCTAGTCCTAAGAATCTCAATGATTCTTCGGTCTTCTATTAAATTCATTGGTTTATAATAATCTATGAATTATTTATAATATCCGTTCAATATTTGGTTCGCATCATGAAATCAGACAAAGCATTATAACAAAAGGGGGTATGTGTAATTTACAAAAAATATTACAAAAGAATCTAATAATTTGTTCACATTGTTGATTAAATAGTTTCTCCTCCTTCCAAGTAATGGAAAAATATTGTGTGTTGTGTTACAATTTAACCGTATAAAAGAGATTCCCATGTAAAACTCTATTTCATTTAATAAAATCGAATCGAGTCCTCTTTTATGTTTGTTAATTTACCAAAGTTTTAATATCTATTTTAATTTAAACAAAATCGAATCGCGTTTTCTTTCGTGTTTGTTAATTTATAATATTTTCCTTCTTATTGATATCATTTACTTTATTATACAGGTATATTCAAAACATATTTTGTGGAGTATTTTAATCAGAGCCAGGCTGATTAAATTTTTTTTAATATACAATTTTTTTCTTTACATATTTTTAGCTGTTTTTATAAAATAAAATAATACATATCAATATTTATCTTTGCTAAATGATATTTCAAAACATACAAATACTATTCTTATATAAAGATAGTTTTTTCAATCGATTGAGTGTCTCACAATAATATCCAGCATTAAATATCTCACTAATGCCATCCATCTCTGCTAATTGTTGCATTATATGTTCCAATTAAAATTCAAAGAACATAAAATCTAACAGAAAAGGTGTATAGATTCATCATATATATTGCCAATTTAATTTTTTTGAACCTAGAATTTAATTCGTATCTATTGTACAACATTTTTTACCCAATAGTACTTGTTGGATTATTACTGTTTTACTTTGTAGTGAACTTATTAATATATAAATTGTATTGGGGTTTTGGGTATCTTGATAAGTGAAATTATGTATCATATTTAATTTCAAATTTAAGTTCATGGAAAGGAGAAACATCATTAATAACATTGTTCTTAACTCCAAAATTCCTTTTTCTCTAAAAAGAAAACTTTAATATGAAATAATAACTATTACAACAAAATTCTCGAGAAAATAACAAAGTACTTAGGGCCAATTAAATTGAAAAAATATACTTCGGAAGGCTTTTCTTTAAAGTTTTTAAGTTTACAATATAAAATATTTGCAATTATGTGAACTTAAATTCCCCTACTTAAAGATTCGTTATAAAATATGTTATTTAAAACTCACTAAAAGATTTTAAAATATTTTTGTTTCGATATATTCTATCATTTCTGATAAATATAGTTTTTCTACCCAAGAACGTTTTCTTGTCAGAAATTCAAATTCAAATCATATTTTTTTTCTTTTTTATCTACTTGTAACCATCCTATGCCCATGCGGTCTGGACTTGCAGCTTCTTTTGTTGTTCTTTTAAAAGAGCCATCTGTATAAAAGATTAACTCTTCTTCACTTGTTAGCTAATTTCTCTGGTTTTTAGAAATAAGATCCTCTTTTATAGCTTGACTCAAATGCTGTTTTTTAATAAGCTCAACTTCTAAGTCCTCACATCGAATTTCCTTAACTATACTCTTCTGATTACTTGAAGCTGCTAAGCTGTCACTTCCTAACCCTTAATCATTTCTTGTTCTAATTCGAATGAGAATTCTTTTTTTTCTTAATGAATCTTGATATTGAGCCATGAACTTCTTCTCTAAAACACTATTTTTTACAGCTATTTTCTTTGGCAACTTGATTGAGATTGCAGCCATCACACTTGACTAATGTTTGATTCATTCTATCTTGATATTTTAGCTTCCAATGCTCAGTAAGTAACTTTTTTGATGTACTTGCAGCTACTTTACTGATCACTAAACTTTTAACTTCTTTTTCTTTTGGCGACTTAAGTACTACCCATTCTCTTTTTCTGTTGTCTCTTATACAATTGTTCAAGGATGTTTGGAGTGCTTCTTTGTTTCTATTGGGTAATAAGAAGTCTATCTTTAGTAGTATACTATTTTTGTTTTCTAGTATAATTTTTTCTATTTTCTTAAACCATCTTGCAGGTCTTGCCTTACTTGATTCATCTCTTAGTAGCTTAAGTTGTTGCCATGAAATCATCTTGTTGCCAGTCTTGTTAATAAGCTGATTTATCAATTTTATATTAAGCTTTCTTAATACTGTAGCAACCTGAAATGTTAAAATATTCTCTAACACTTCTGTAATTTGTTTTTCTTTATTGAATTCTACTAATTCAATATTGTTAAACTTAAATGTTGCTTGCAAGTCTCTAGCTTTTCATATCACTTGACATGCCAAATTGGTTTTCTATAAACTACTACATGTTTTTGGTAGATTTTCATGCCAATTTTCTTCAGTTGCGCCTATAAATAGCAAACCTTGACTTATTCTGATTCTTGTTACCAATTCTTCTGGTCCAGATGAGTTTATTTTTGTATGTAAACTAGTGATTTGCTTTGTTAAAAGTTGATCCCATAATGCATTACAGCTAACCAGGTTTCTGTGTATAATTATGCTATTGCTTACTGTTATAGCTATGTCTAATTTGTGTTTAGCCAGACCTATTATAGGCTTTGAATTATGTCTATTGCTCTTTTGGATAGTTTTGTGGTCTGAAGTATATATATTAATTTTGGTACTATACACATATTGTTTATATATGATACTTGTCGTCTATTATTTTTTAGTACTTAGTAACTTTGCTGTTGACTACACTAATTTTTTTGCCCTTATTTTGATTTAGCTTTCACTAAGCTTATTGTTAAGCTAAATTCCCAAAAACCTTGTTACATCAGCAAAATTTTTAAGCAGATATATATCGATATATAGCAGTTAATCGATATATATCGATTAAAAATTATCGA